TCTTGTCCGAATCGGTGTTAGAAACACCGAATTTTTAGCTGCACCTACTAGCGGTCCTCAAATTTTCTAAATTTTCTTGTGAATATTAAAACATGCTTTATGTACGTAAAAATATCCCAAAAAATCTAAAATTGGTGTTAAAATTTTTTTTCAGCCAATTTTGAAATTCTAGCATGGTGACACCACCGTGCTCTGGCGACGACACCGCAGCCTGTTGTGGTAATTTTTCTTGAACTAGTCGATTTCGGCTGATTTTATACCCATCCATGCGAGAATCACGTTAGAGGGCCTCGGTTGGTAGAAAAAAATCGAAAAACAAAAACTTACCGGCGATGAAATTTTTCGGTGCGACAGCTTTGCTGGCTCACATTCGCAGCTGAATGTTTTTATTCGGTCAACTTGTAGAAAACAGAATGATGAACACAATGGTGAAAAAATCACACAAAATGAAAAACGAAAAGGGGCTCATCAGAGACGATTTTTGGTTTTACCTGTGACGGTGTCGCCAGGCTTTATCGTGGTTTCTGGCTCATCTATCGTTCATTTTGCTCTAATTTGGCCATAAGGGTGTTCGAAATCAAATTCCGAGTGGATAGAAGAATTTTTACTTTTTTTGGCAGTCGGAGGTGGCTCCGGCGCAGCGGCGGGTGGCGGTCAGCTCCTTTCTCCAGCGACTATTTCTTCTTTTCCGACGGGAGGCTAGTGGTTAGGGTTTAGGTTCTGTGTGATACGAGATATTTATACCCATCTTCCTTAAATTTTTACCGTTCATCGCGTTTGATCTCGACTGTTCGATCTCGTTTAAAAGAAAAATGAATCTGAACTGTTCATCGCAATTTAATTTTGATCGTATAATCGCATTTAAAGAGAGAACAAATCTGAATCATTCATCGCATTTAATCGTGATCGTCCGATCGCACCTGAGGAGTGAACGGATCCAAACCGTTCACGCGCGCAGGAACACATATGGGCCGTTCGATCGTGGGCACTCAGATTGCCAACGCGGCCTTCCGCATGGCATAGAGTCAGCGTGTCTTACCATGTGGTGCGCTTCGATTCTTTGGGGCTACTGATTGGGCAACACTACGTGGTGTAATTTTTTTTAATTATGCTTTGACCATCAGTTTTCAATTTTTTTTTTCAAAAATACCATATGAATCTAAAATTTTACCCATTTTTTTCTAAATTATTTTTAATTTCATCATCCACCTATTTGTTTACTAATTTTACATTAAATAAAGATTTATAAATTTAAAAATTATATTTTTATATATTTTTTTAATTTTAAAATTAATCATGAGCCAATTTTGGACCCAGATATTATAAATTTACTTCCACTTTATTCATATTTCATAGCTACATATCTTTCTAGTTAAGTAATAAATTTTTTTTTTTTCCTTATTACATAAATTCAAGTTTCTTTTCATTAAAAAAAATTATTTTTTTCTCGATAATGTCTTTATTATTTGAGTCAATAGTATCCTATTAGATATTTGATAAATACTGATAAATCATAAATAAAATATTAGAATTAAGAAAAAAATATAGATAATTAATTATGTGATGAATCAACAATTAAAAGCATTGAGAAACCAAAGTTTATATATAAATGTAATTATGTAATTACCTCGTTTGATATCTCTTTATAAAATTTATGAATTTATTTTTTATTAATTTAAATTTAATTTTTAATAAATTTATTTTGATAAATTTAAATATTTAATCAATTCAAATGTAAATTTATAATTAAAGAAATTCTTTTTTTTTTTAAATAAAATGAATTGACACTCTTTGATAATTGAAGACAACATATATATATATATATAGAAGAGAATGAGATCATATATATATATATATTTAAAAAAATTAAGATTATAATATATTTTGATGTGATTATTTAATTAATTTGGGGTGGAGACAAATATATATATATATATATATATATATATATAAAAGAGAGAAATTGGGTATGAGAGTATGGGTGTGGGTATGGAGGAAGATATTTTGTATATGTGGAGGAGAGAAAATTTTACAAGGGATTATGTTTGTGTAGCGGCAGAGAAGATATTCTTTTTGGGGCAAAATGAGTTGAGTTATACAACCCAAGCAGCTGTGCTTGTCAGAATCACTTTTCTGCTCTATACCACAACTATACATACACACACATATATATATATATATATATATATATATAAATTCAAGAAAATATATTCACCATCAAC